TACATAAGAGGAACAGTAAAAATAGTATAATATAAAAGCGACAGATGTGCATTAAGCAGCAACCAGCAGTGGAACTGCAACGTAAGCTGAGGAATCGGTAGAGTAAAGAAAAGGGTTGAAGCACACCTCCAATATTACGCAAAAGATGCACAGAGCAATGAAAAAAGTCTCAGATTCAACTCGCAAGAAACGCAAGAACAATTAATGAACACTAAAAGTAACTTAAACTAATCGACGTATAAGCGATAGGTTGACACTCTCAATCAGATCATGCATAAGGCAGAGACTAATATAAGGCTCTAGATAGAGTTACGCTCAAGCGAGAAAAGATAGTCGTATAGTTTACCCTTAAAAACGGTGACAGACGTTGCTGAAACAACATCATAAGGAAGCGAGTTCCAAAAGTAGATGCCCGCGAGATGAAAGGACCTGCGATAGGTTTCAGTTCTGTGATTTGGAACATGAAAAGAGTGCGGTAGCGCCAGTCGTGATGATCGCCTGACTGAGGGGTCGTGATCAACGAAGATTTCAGAGAGATAACTAGGAGATAAGTCATGGGACACCTTAAACATTTCGATACCAAGAAAGTAAAGACGGCGGTATTTGACCGATAACCACCCCAATCGATGCCGGTAAGGTGTGATGCGTTCGTCACGCCTTAAATTGAAAATGAAACGAATAGCACAATTTAAGAGCCTCTAAAGCCTGGTATTTAGTTCCTCGGTCACGTCGTTGTATACAAGAGAGCAGTAGTCCAACAAAGGCAAAATCAAGGTGGTCACAAGTTTAACACGTAGATTAATTGATAATGAATTCTTATGAAATTTCAGTTTGTGCAGTGTAAAGTGTACCCTTCTTGAAATGTGTGAAACGTGACCCTCCCAAGAAAGGTCGGAGCGCATGATGACCCCGAGGTTTCGAGTCTCCGTAACAAATGGGATGGAGGTACCGCCAACTGAAACGAGAGGTAGGTCATTTAAATTTAAGTGTCTAACGTGACTCCTGCTGCCAAAAATCAAGACTTTTGATTTCTTAAGATTGAGAGTCAATCCGTTGGTTGCAGCAAATTGTGAGATGACACCCACGTCATGTGCGACGAGGTGTAAAGCAACGCTCAGTTGACTAAGGGGACTTCTGCGATAGATCTGTGTATCATCGGCGAATATAATGCGCTCAGTATATCTCAAGAAGGCACCAATGTCGTTAATAAATAAAGAGAAAAGGAGAGGACCTAGGACGGATCCTTGTGGAACACCTGAAGTGACAGACAGCCAGTCAGAGAACACGCCCTCCAAATCAACGACAGCCTGACATCGACCAGTTAGATACGAAAAAATTAACTTGAGGGCCGAATCAGAAAACCCTAGTTGTCTGAGTTTGGTCAACAGTAGAAAATGACTGACCGTGTCAAAGGCTTTGCTGAAGTCGAAGAGGACAAGAATCAACACCTCACCCACGTCGACGCCATACTTAATGTCATGGAGCAACCGCAGCAAAGCGGACTGGGTGAAATAGCCTTTCCGGTAACCGGATTGCCGATCATCGAGAATATTATGAGTAGCTATAAAGTCCGAAATCTGGCGGTGTAGAATTTTTTCGAACAACTTAGAGAGTTCACACAGATTAGCAATAGGCCTCGTGTCCGAAGGAGAAGCGGGAGATTTAACTTTGGAGAGCGGTCGAAGTATGGCTCGCTTCCACAAGGACGGGAAGTGACTGAAATTTAGACAACAATTAAAAAATGTGGTAAGGAGATTGCCAATCCGGGGCAGGGCTAAGGCTATGGCGTATAGAGGTAATTGGTCATAACCCGAGGCAAGAGAGACAGAAGAAGCGGAGACAAAGGAGCTAAGGTCCTCAAAGGTGATCTGAGAAAAACTGAAAAGTGGTGCGTCAGGTACTATGGATGAGATGATGTCGGAAAATTGAGAAAGTGTACAAGAAGGAAAGCAGTTGGAGATGGAGGCATAATGGGCATTTAAGATATCACGAGAAAAAAAGTTGAGCGGAGAAGATAGAGGAGACTCAATGAGCCCAAGATTGGCAAGCTCACGCCATAACCTGGATGGATCAGAAATGGCAGTCAATCTCTCCATGTGATAGCGCTCCCTGGCCCTTCTCAAGTCGTCTGTGAGATCATTTCTATATTGCCTATAGATATGAAAATCGAGAATGTCACGTGATCTTCGGGCAGTATTATAGAGACGGTTGCGATGTTGAATTCTGCGAGCAAGTTGGTCAGTAAGCCAAGGCGCAGCTGGGCGAGTAACACGAAAAGTGCGGATGGGCGCATACTGATTAAGACACGACGTGAAGTCGTCAGTCAAGGTATTCAAGATGTCGTCCAAGTCAGGCCTATTAAGACTCTTATGGCTGAAGTCCTCGGCGAAAGATAAGGACAACGCAGAGGTGAGAGTCTCGACGAATCCTGACCCATCGAAATCCCTGAAGCTGCGTCGAACTAAAGTACGATTTGAAGTAGATGGAACCACAAACATGTACTTCAGCTCAATCAGGTCGTGACCGTTAATGAAAGGCGCATCCGATTTACGAAACGATAGGACTTTATCAAGGCTATCGACTATAAAAACGTCCAACCACGAGTCAGAAGAGCGAGTGTGAAAAGTTGATTGCGAATCGACAATGCTTAGCGACAACTGTGAGACCATATCTCTAAGGTGATCAGAATCGTAAGATGAAGCGAGAAGATTACAGTTAAGATCACCTGAAATGATGATATTTCTATAGTTATGCATGAATGTAGTGAGAGCATCAACATATTTACAGAAGTTTTTTCCCTTAGGTCTACGGTACATTGACGTAAACAAGAGAGGCTCACAATCATCGCCCCGAATGTCCAGAACAAGAAATTCAGGCTCATTCGAGAAGACGAGAGGAGACGACGCGAGAACACGCGCCCGCAGCGAGTCGTGAATGTAGCAAGCAACACCCCCTCTCTCCCTGCCATCCCTATCAGCACGCAACAAATAGTATCCAGGAATGCGAACTAGATCATCAGAGATGTGAGAGTGAAGCCAGGTTTCAGTAATCGAGATAATATGAAAAAAGTTCAGTGCAATGAAGGCCTGGATTGACTCCAAGTGAGCAGGAAGGGAGCAGGCGTTAAAGCAAGCAATGCTGAGGCGACCACGCGAAGCAAGAGGATCCACATCTGCCGCAACAGATCACTGAAGCTCCGCAAGATCAGCCTCAGAATCAATAGAAATAGGGGGTTGACCTTGAGCCTTACGGACAAAGATGCGACCATCTTTGGTCCAAAAGTGCTTAAAAGAGAATTGCTTAGCCCTGGCTCGCGCCCGACGCAACAAGTTGTACGTTTGTGTTGGAAGCAGTTCATTTATGTAAATGTTACCGGGAAAGCCCCCCGAGAACACATCGCCCACCGCAAGCCGGCGCTTGCCACGGGCGGCCCGGATGATGTGGTCGCGGATCTCGCGCGACTTAAGCGCTACAATTAAGGATCGCGTCCGATTAGCAGGACAGTTCTGCTCGAGGGCCAGACACGATCCCCACGCATCACCCAGCGACACAGACACCCCACGCCCAGCCACGTCACGCGTCTCCAAAACATCCGAGATCAAGCAAGACACCCCGAGCGCATGAAAAACACCAGTTACTACTTCATCAGCCGTTAAGGCCAGAGAGTGAGGAATGCCCGAGACGATAATGTCGGATGTTCGGGGGACACGCGACACAGCAGTCAGGGCGGCGTCAACACCCTGAGAGCCAAGGAGCACAGAGCTCCGAGCCTCCAACGCAGCGATCCTATCACCGTGACCCGCGACGAGTTTGATGACGTCAGGAAGCTGGTTAAGCTTATCCGCAAAATCAGCATTTACCGCCTCCTGGCGAGTTATAAATGCGGAGATTTTCTTATCCGACTTCTCGAACGCGGCGTCAAGCCTGTCAGCAAACCTTTTGTCCAACTCATCCATCCTGGCTAAAATAGATCGGAGCATCGCATCGGTGGTGAGAGATTGGGCGCCAGGGGGAGGAACTCCATCCGCAAGCGGCGACGAGACAGCACTCTTGCAATCGCCGACACGAGGCGCATGAGAGTCGATGGGCGGCGGCGGCATAGTCGGTAATCGAGCCAAGCAGCACGCACTAGCTGATTTCGTGTTAAGATACGCCTTGACGCAACCAGGGTGAAATTCCCTGGTGCATTCACTGCAAGAGACGAACTGCCCAGCAATAGACTTAGAGCATCTGTTGCATGTTCGGTCGCGCTGCATGGCACACGACACGATGATACCTCACAGTTGGCAATAAGAAGCGACCAATCAGGCGAGGGCAAGGCAGTTCACGCCAACAAGGATCGCGGCGGAGACACACGGCACGCTATACTGCGAGTCCACAGTCGGTATCACGAAGCAACCAATCAGGCGCGGGCAAGGCAGTCTACGCCAGCCAGGGCAGGCACACACCGCACAGACGCACCGAATAGAGAGCAGACAGGCAACCCAAAAGCAGTGAGGTGCAGAAAGAGCAGACCAGGAAGCAGGCGCATGCGCAACGGGCGGACGCCCCGGCTCGGGCAGGACCAAGATTCCACGACGATACCAGAAGTGAGGTTAGGATGACCAAAGAGATTTGACCCAAAAATGCTAGGAACTGGGAGGCAATCTCATAAAAAATGAGGATCACACGCGTCAAGCAACGAAAGACTTGCAAGAATCTGCAAAAAAATAGCCCGAAGGCAATTAACGGCAGCAGAAATGTTGGCTTGAAACAGGAGCGAGAAAATCCAACCACCACCAATACTCACACTCAGAGAGAGAGAGAGAGAGAGAGAGAGAGAGAGAGAGAGAGAGAGACTATTTGCGTGTCTTAATACACATGTTCTCCGGGGCGAAGCCCGGCGGGGCATGCTAGTAATATATAAAGTCTGTTCCTGCGGCGTGAGTCCCCCGAGACGACTTTCTCAAGCGAGACCTCAAAGCGAAGTTACAGCGCGGAGCAGGCCGCATATTGTCGTAATGGCGAGGCCTCCAACCCGGGGGCCATTCCACCCGTCGCGTCGGCGTCGGTGGTGCCCTGCTCAAGCGTTCGCACGAGGCGATCCGGCTCAGGACCTCGACGTTAGGAACGGTAGAATAGTGACGTCGAGCGATGGCAGGACGAGCGTGTCGATCGAGGAGGCCGCTCGCGACGGTATTATCGCTGGCCGATCGGCTGTTAGGTCCATGCGGAGTGAACGAGGAGGGTCATCGGGTGTCGCTGCTCGAGGCAATCCAGCGAGAGCTCTGCGACGCGCCGAGCGGGCCGACATCGCGGACTGACAATGAGTTAAGCAAGCGGTGGAGGAAAAGTACAAGCTCTGTGACGAGACGCTCTCTAAGCTTCTGCAGTGGATCTCCGAAATTGAGGACAAGCTGGCGAATCAGGATACCGTCAAGGAAGACGTAGAGCAGTTAAGAAAGCAGATAATTATCATGAAAGAAATAAAGGAAGATCTTGAATCGCACAATCGATCCGTTTCATCCTGCTTGGATCAGATTCGACAGGTCGTCTTGACGGGCAGCAATGTGTTATTCAGCGACAAAGAGTCTACTTTGGAAAAGAACAGTCGATTTTTTAGAACCCGATTTGACAAAGCGTTAGATCGCATTGACAAATTAGTGAAACGTCTCATTGGTGCCAGAGATGAATTAACAAAGTTCAAGAATGAACTCACGACGTTCTCGATTTGGTTGGATAAGGCCAGAAGCGTGCTTGAAGAGGAGGAGCGTTCCTTATCCGATCTGAACAAGCTCAGTAGCAGCACGGATACGACTCACCTACGTGGACGTGCGCATCAGCTGATGATGGAAGTTGGACGAGTCGTACAAATTGAAGGCAATCTGATGATGAGACACGAGCTGCGAGTTGCCGAGGAGCAGCGTGAACTTAGCTTGAACAACTCGAAACGACGCGGAAAGAAAGTAAGAATCATGTCTTCTAGAAAAGAGTGTGACGCACATACATATTTGATATAGTAATAGTATTTGTATCTTTTTATGATCTTTTGATTGCAGGTGTCTGTAGATTTCAACGTGAGAGAATATTGTACGATGTGCGATCTGAATTTTTACGGAACCTTGTCTACGCATAGAAAGAGCGAAAAGCATCATCAATTAAAAATCTTTTTGCATCCCCGCTGTTTCCCTTGTCTAAAAGAATTCCCGTCTCGCATAGAATACGACGAGCACTGTTTAACACCCGCTCATATGAAGAATGCCGTTCAGCGCGAGGAACAACGAAAAAATAAAAAGAAAGGTAATGAAGAAAGTAGAATAAAAGAAAATGTTTGTTTTCGAAATAATTTCAAAGAGATTTTTAAATTGATAAATTGTTTTTGTAGACAAACTGGCAAAGGGAGAAGCTGAGGTTCGCACCGCGGAAGATGAGGAGAAAGATGTTTGTCATGACGCGAAAAACGAAAAAGAGGAGGATTCAGAAGAACAAGGATACATCACGGATATTATAGAAAATATAACTGAGAAGAAATTCAAAATACCATCTTACAAATATTGACGTTAAAATCAGATCTTTATATTGGTATGGATTATTTAAGAAAAGTTATAAGTTTAATTTATGTAAAATTAATTTATATAAAAAAAACATTGCGCGTTCTCTTTGTACATGTATGCTATCTTTACAAGAAATTATATTTATTTAGGTAAATCTGTGGTCAAAGTATAGTATCCCGATCAAATTGGTTGAAAATTTAGTAGTTTTATTATGTATAGTTTATGACGTCCTGGTGAAGTAACCATGAGCCCAAAGTCCAAACATGGAGTTTTCGAGTTACAGAGCGTCAAACATCAGGAAAATGGGTTCATCGGCTCATGGTAGTCCTGTGTACGGTCGTACTGGTTTGTGCCTCTGTGTGTGTGTGTGTGTGTGTGTGTGTGTGTGTGTGTGTGTGTGTGGTGTGAGTGAGTAAGTATGGGAGTGTGTGGGTGTGTGTGAGTGAGTGAGTGAGTGAGTGTGTGTGTGTGTGTGTTTGCGCGCGCGCGTGACATTATTTACACCTACACACACACTCACACACACACACACACACACACACACACACACACACAGGCACACACCAACATGACCGCACACATTAAGAACTACCATGAGCCGTTGAATCCATTTTTCCGATGTTTGACGCTCTGTAACTCGAAAACTGTCCATTTTTGGACTTTGTGCTCATAGTCACTTTTCATCAGGACGTCATAAACTACCCAGACAGCACAAAATATTTATGAATATTTATAATAAATATTTATAAATATTTTAAAAGTTTATTTTCCAAAAATTTATAGTAAATATTTTATAAAGATTTTTTGTAAAGATTTTGGAATAATACAAAAATTATTACTAATGATATATAAAATATATTTTGGAAATGTATTGAAAAATATTTCTTATATATAAACTGAAATGTTTTTTTATATCTTTTGTCAATATAATATAAATATAATATAATATAATATAAATATTTATTATAAACATTTTGATTAATATTGGATATATCTCTGTGACAAATATTGTAGTATTATTTTTCGGAATATTAAAAATACATTGGATAATATTATACCCAGATAACACGTGTTAGTAGGGGAGACCGGGGCGAAGTCGTCACTATTTTTTCGGTGCCGATTTTTAACAACAAAACAAATAATTTTAGTAAAATGTGACATACCGTTGCAAAAAGTGAACACTTGACAACAAAATTTATTAGGGCATTTTTGGTCTACGTCGTTTTGTTCAACCGGTATAGAATAAAAACGACAAAAGTGCAAAAATTGAAATGTCAAAAGTACCGGGGCAGAGTCGTCACACCCTCGGGGCGGAGTCGTCACTTTATTCTCGGACTGGATTTTGATTAATAAAAATCACAACATGGCACATAATCTCACCAAACTCTGTTCAACTCCGTTGGTCACATGAGCACCATAAGTAGCGTTTACTATATTTTAATGACGAGTTTACACAACATACAGGTTTCGAAATAACTAGTGACAACTCCGCCCCGGTGACGACTTCGTTCCGGTCTCCCCTATATATACATATATGTTTTCTAAACGTATTTAATGTTTTATATATACAGGGTGTCAATTTGAAAACTTTCGGAATATCTCGGGAACTAGTAAAAATACCAAAACACGATTTGGAGAGAATATAAGGTAGCAAGGGGGACATACTTTGATTTAAAAAAATTTGACCTTGGGTGGAGGCGTCATGGTCAAATAAAAGTCAACTTAATTTTTTTTAATGGACACAATTTTTTAAACATCTGCGTTTGTAACCCTTCTCATTACGAGCTCAACGCGCTATGATCCAAAATCTTCGAAGGTCAAATGCGGGCTTACAGTATTATTGTCTTTGTATATGTTATGAGACACCTTTTACAGCTGCAGCTTCTTTACTAAATCAAAACTAAATCGAAATCGAACGGATCTTGTTGTTAGACTGCTATTTCTTGTACATGTTTATGTTCGTGGACATGGGCAATGTCATGATGACTTAGTTGGGCACGCGGAATCATCATGTTAACGCTTGTAGTACAAATTAGCATTCACTATACTTACCAGTTTAAGTAAACTGAAAAAATGTCAGTCACACCTGCGTACAACAATTAATATTAAAATTTGAAGAAACAGGATCAATAGCAAAGAAAAACAGAACCGTACAAAGCAACTCAACTTGAAGTGTGTTAGGTCATTTTGCAATGAATTTAATATTGTCGATTCGCAAGCTGCAGCTGTAAAAGGTGTCTTATAACATGTACAAAGACAATAATACTATGAGTCTGCATTTGGTCATTTGATCTTTGGCGACTTTGGATCATAACGCGTTGAGCTCGTAATGAAAAGGGCTACAAACGTAGATATTTAAAAAAATAATGTGTCTATTTAAAAAAATTAAGTTGACCTTTATTTGACCTTGACGCCTCCACCTAAGGTCAAATTTTTTTAAATTAAAGTATATGTCCCCCTTGCTCCCCTACATTTTCTCCAAACCGTGTTTTGATATCATTACTAATTCCCAAGATATTTCGACTGAAAGTTTTCAAATTGACACCCTGTATGTGTTTGAGATAGTAATAATCCGCGTCGAAAATCGCATGTCCGAACACGCACGCTTGAGTAAAATATAAGTCGATCGAAATTTCGCCTTAAATTACAGTCAAGTTATGGCATGGATTTTTCCGGTATTCTTATTCCGGAAAGTTTGCTAACATTATTATTAATAACAAAGTCACGGCGAACCGGTCGCACAAGCAAGCAAAAATCCATGCCATAAACATTGCTATCGAAAACAAGCAACGATTTCTGCGGATCGCCAAACGAAAATTGTCGCTACGATGACGTAAGCCGCCGATGGCCAATCACCTTTCGAAATCCGAGCGCCGCGCATGTCAGGCGCAAACCTTCCCGCGGCCGGCTCTTGGCCACCAATCACGCACCTGATTGTGAGTCCTTAAACAACCTTCGATGTTTAAATTTATTGGTTATTAGCCCGGAGAGAGCCTCGACTCAAGATTAATAAAAAGTTCGCCGCTGTACCGAGGGCTCTCTTTTTGTCGAAGTTCACCCGCTAGTTAAAACCGCCTTGCACACCGCTTCGAATACTTTCGCTTAGAACACGAAATTCCGCTATCTCGCTTCGCGAACCCGCTTTACTGCTTCTAGCACGCCGTGCTCAATTCAGTGCGCGCGTTCACGGCTTCTTGCTTTGCTAAAAGTAAAGGAACTTTGTACATTCTGTATATATTTTGTAATATACTTATTTTATTGTACTCATTCTCATAAACTTATTGAACTGTGTCTCCTTGTGTTGTCCTTCTCGCGCTACCACTCGCGCTACCGCGTACTCTGTGCTCTCGAACAATGTATATACAGAGTAAGGAAAAAATATCGGGGTTCCGAAATATCTCGAAAAATATCAGTTCTGCAAAAAAATGTTTTAAATAAAATAAGTTGTAGGGTTTAAAAAGATCTATTTACTGACTGTATTTGACCTTAGGTGGAGTCGTCAAGTCAGAATCACTGAACTTTTTGAATCAAACCCTCTATATATTTTTTATTGCATGCATATTTTTAAGTCCTTGTCGAGACGTTTTTGAAACAATAAAGCTCTCTTTCTTTAAGAATTTCCTGAGATATTTCAAAGTTTGTCATAATATTTTTAATTTAAAATATGAAATATCTCAAAGTATTCACTTTTCGATGACTTTACCTTGATACTTTTATACATAGAATAGGTAATGAAAGGAATCTAATAATAATATTAATTTTTACATTTGCAATTTTGTAAAATTGAATGCATCTACAACATGCAATCAAATTTAAAAAAATTTGTTTACAACAAATCGATTCCTTTTATTATTCTATGTATTAATGTATCAGTACAAAATTACCTTTTTCAAAAAAGGTAAAAAAAGGCGCCAAATAAAGGAGACCGGGGCGAATCGTCACTGGGGCGAAGTCGTCACTACAGTTATCTCGAAATCTGTATGTTGTGTAAACTTGTCATTAATATAGTAAATTCTACTTATGGTGCCCATATAACCAACTGAGTTTAGTGAGATTATGTGCCATGATTTTTATTAAGGCAAACGTGTTTTTGGAGGTCCAAAGTGAAATTTTTTGCGCGTCAAAAATTTTTAATATTTTAAATATTATTTTCTCTCCGAATCTCGAGATAAGTGATTCTGAAGAGTAATGCATGCTGAACACGAATCCAATAAAGTTTTTTTATTTTCGTTGATTTCTAATATTTTATGAGTGATTAAACTTAAAATATGTGTCCGGGACAAAGTCGTCACCAAGCCACCGGGGCACACTGTGACGACTTTATCCCGGTGGTTTTACTCTATTTTTTGTTGTAAATGCGTCATTGTATTTCTCAATTGCAAGAAAATGGTACGCACGTACCATCACAAAACGATTCCCGTCGACAAGGAGTAACTCAGGAAGGCAGTTCTTGCAGTAAAAAAAGATAAAAATAATCAAAAAAATAAAATTAAGACAAAAGTAGCCGCAAAACAATTTGGAGTCACGAGAACTACGTTGAATGACTGGCTGAAAAAGAATAATAATGAAATAGCACACTTGGATGATGTGGCCGTACGATATCATGGAAGCTTCAAAAATCAAAGAGCAAAAATCAAAGTCAAGGAAGCATCAGTGGTCGGATTGTCGGATTCCGACAAGGACTTAGATAATATGTGCTGTTCAGAGATGACAAAGATCAGAGCTGACGAAAAACATTGCATTTCGTGCAAGCATAAAGCACATAAGTGCGTGCGCTTTTCTTGTAATTATTTTCCGCCATCGTGTTTTTAATTAATAAATGTTTCCATTTTTCTGTTAAAAATAATTAATAAAATGTATTCTATTATTTTTCATGATCAAAATTATGTATTGTCATTTAAAATCCAGTCCGAAAATGGAGTAACGATTCCGCTTCGGCAATTTTGATATTTCAATTTTTGTCGTTTTTATTCTATACCGGTTGAACAAAGCGACGTAAACCAAAAATGCCCTTATAAATTTTGTAGCCAAGGGTTCACTCTTTACAACGGTATATCACATTTTACTAAAATTTTATTTTGTTGTTAAA